CTTTTATCCCCAAGACTGAAAAAGCTCTGGCTTGGGGCATGGGAAGGATGTGTGTTTCTATTTTAATTAAGGACAATTCACAGTCTGCAGAATTCACAAGTTCATTTTCTGAAGCTATTTCTGATCGAGGTAAGCCTTTGACCGACTGGAGTTAATTAGCATTGCAGAGCATGAAGTAATTGCCATTGTTCCTCAAAATTAAAGGTGGGAAGATGCCCAATGACTTGTAATTACCCAGCCCTGACTCCTAAGTCCAAGGATCACAGCTCCAAATCCTCAGCAAGGAAACAAGATGGAGAAATCCATCTATTTATCTGCTTTCCCCTCTCTTGCGTGTTTACTATCTTTTCCGTCACATGATTAGCAAGTTAAACCCCAAACCTGTTTGAATCAGTGGGCTAAAGTAACCAGCTGAATAGCAGACAGCTGAAGAGCAGACGTGTCCTGAATTTTATTAACAGGATTTCTAGTTTGAAGCATGCAGGCTGCTATTTGAACGTTTTGCTTGGGAAACAAATTCAGAAAGTATCAGATCCATACATGCTCATCACAGTTTTTCTAATTAGGTCTGATATTTCTGTTGAAACCATCTGGTGACCCTGTTTGTAAATCCCGGTCATCTCTGGCAAGACTTGCTGGTTGCAAGAAAGGGCTATCCGTGCAAACCAGCGCGAAAACAAAATCCAGGGGGTCCTTGTTATTGAAGGTCGATCGTCTGAGTCTCTGCAGCTGTGATGTTGTAGAGAGGCAAAAGTTGTTAAAACATTTTTTCAGTCATCACCCAATTTCAACCATTAAACATTTTGATGATTAAATGAATCTTGCTTAGCATTAGCATGAAGGGTTTTCTACTACATCTACTTCCTTGTGGCTCCATCTCTCAAGTGACCCCTGGATTTTGATTGCCCGTCACTTGTCATTAATGATTCGTTATGGAATAAGCACGTTGCCCAACTCGAACCAGTGACAGTCAGTTGAAGGACTCTTGTTTAAGTTTGTTAGGGAAAGAGAACCCAGGAAGACGTGCATCTGAAACTACTGGCAGGTATTTTGGATGGATTGCTGTTTCTTACAACCAGTGAGTCCTGTCAAAGAGAATCAGGCTCTCACTGACAGTCTGACCCTAGCACATGTACGGTATAATCCAACTGCAAACGTTTGATTGAGAATCTTGCTCAAGATGCAGGATTTCACGAAGCTGATGAAAGTGGTATTGAAACATGTTTAAAGAACAAAGCCACAGATGACCCACGAGAATTGAGCAGCGTTGGAAGTCAGTGGTGATATTCAACTGAAATCTGCAGGTCCAGCCATCCTGGTTGTCAGGGTGACTGTTCCAATTATTTGATGCCTCTATTATACTGGTCATTCAATATTTTGAATATCATCCCAAGAAGAGTGTGAACAGCTGAAGAAAAAAAAAAGTGACAAGGAAAATGACTCAGTGAACACTTCAAAAGAGAAATATTTAAATATCAAAAGATTCCAGAGGGCCTTAGGAAAAACTGGCAAAGTCCTTGAATATTTTTTTAAATGACCTTTTTATTATCATGCTGTGAAAGCCAAACCTGAAGTGAAGGATTTTGTCAGAAAGATTATACCAGAAAAGTTCACTACTTAATCCATTTTCTACATTTTGTTATTTTGATAAGGTATTTATTTTTTAAAGAAAATGTTTCAAATCAAACCCCTTTCTTCCTCCATAATCTGCTGTGAAAATTTGGGCTCAGTATTAAGAGTCACTTTAAATGATTTCCACCAGGATTGAGTTTCCTGCCAGGGAGGGAAGTCCCTTTCTCCTTTTCCCGTGGGGCTACACAGTGTTTCCCTTCTACTTCTTTCCTTGGTGGCTCAAATTCCCTGCTTCTTTCCTCACATCTGTGCTGTCTGCTTGCTCGTGGTGTACCTGCCAAGGCATCCATATCTTACACCGTGTGTCACTCTGCCCCAGCCATAGGTGAGTGGATCAGGAGTGGACCAAGACCCAAGGGCAGCTATTCCAAAGACTGTCCAAGGACTAAACTTGATAAAACAGAAACAAAATCGAAAACAACATGAGGCTGGACCAGTCAGATGCACTCTCAGGAATCTCCAAGGAATATGGTCAGAGTTAGCTAGATATCATGATGACCTGAGAGTAAAGTGACACATCATCGAGGGGCTCCCTGAGGTCGTGATGTACCAAGAGCAAGCTTAGGAGCAGGACTGGGTAATTCTGCAGGACCAAGATGTTAACGAGGCTCCAGAGTTCTCACCCAGTGCTCTTATCCTGTGCCACTTACACTGGGCAGCTGCTCACCCTGCTGGTGACAATACCCACGTTTTCTCAATTCGTGTAATGTGGGTAGAATCGAACCTATCTTTAGATCTAGCTATCCTTAGATCTAAGTAAGACCCAGTCCCAGACAATCAGGTCAGTACGTGCCCTTTAGCCATAATGATTAGTTATGCAATGAGCACATTGCCCAACTTGAGCCAGTAACAGTCAGCTGAAGGACTTTTGTTTAAATTTGTCAGGGGAAAGAGAATGCAGGGATATGTGCACCTGAAACGTCTGGCAGTCGTCCGCTGAGATATAAAGCAACTCCAGGTTGCTTTGTTTGGAGTTGCTTTATTTCTCTTGTTACAACAAAGAGCCATAACCAACACAACATGCTAATGGGATTATGATGATAATACTGTCTTTTTACCATTTGAAGATAACTTTTTCAGCCATCATCCCCTGATTCCCTCAACAACCCCGTGTTGCAGACAAGGAAAGGATTATCATCTTGATGAAGATTGCTGCCAGATCTAGAGGGCCACCGTGATGTTTTCTCAAGCACTTAGAAAACACAGGGAGCGAAGATTGCCTTCTGAAAGTTAAACCCTGAAGTCAATATAGTATAGATTAAAGCAGAGTAATGCAAAGTCATCTTAAAGTGACACGATGGCTCCCAGGCCTGCAAGACTTTGCTGTCACGCAGTCAAATGAATTAACATATTTAATGAAAGACTGTGTCTGTCATGATCCACCCTGCAAGCCTAGAGGGCAGAGAGCTGCAAAAGCGGCTTGTCCAGTAGAGAGGGAATCTCAGTCTTCGAGAATTTCTTGTTCCAGGAGAAAGGCTAGATGTAAAGAAATACTTTCAGCTACAAGTCATATAAAAGCAGATTGATAACAGTGATCAGTTGAAGGTGGCTGCAACTTCTTTGCCACTCCTCCCACGAAGAGGCAGGGTCTCTTTCCCTTCCCCTCAAATCTGGGCTCACTCTCTGACTTGCTTTGCAAAACAGAGGGAAGTAAAAGTGACGATGTGTCATTTCTGAGGCTGGGCTGCAGAAGATTTGCAAGTCCCACTTTTGCACACTTGGAAGACTCCCTTTTGGAACCCAGCTGCCGTGCTGTGAGAAGCCTAAGCCACACGGAGAGGGTGAGCTGTCAGCTAGCCGTTGGCGCCAATTGTGACCCATGTGAATGAGCTATTTTGGGCATTCCAGCCCAATTGAGCCTTCAGATGACTGCGGCTCCAGCTGACACCGTGTGGAACAGTATAACCACCCAGCTGAGCCCAGTCAACTCACAGAATGATGACAGATAATAAATGGTTTAAACCACTTAGTTTTGGGATGACTTTTAAATAGTACAACAGAAAACTCACACAACAATGGCTTAAACAACAAAGACCTTTAATGATCTTCTTTAGTGGGGAGTGGGGATGTAGGAAGTTTCGGGTTTGGTGCAGCAGAGCAAGGTCAATTGTCCACGCTTTTCCTTTCTTTCCATTCCACAATCTATAGCACATTGGCTTTCCATTCTTCTCATGGTGTAATGCCAAGGTATCCCATCCATGTTTAAAGCAAGCAAGAAAGGGAAATGGGTAAACCAGGGAGGTCTTCTCTCCTCCTCTGGCCTCTGTTCATTTCATCAGGAAGCCAAATGTCTTTCCAGATGCCTGTTGGATAACTTGCCATTGTATCTCTTTGGCCAGATGTGAGCATCCTTGGTTGCAAGGAAAGTGTGTATTTATTTATCCAGTCTCTAAAGAGCGAAGCATCCATGGGAAGTGAAATTGGCAATGGCCTTCTGGCAGCAACCAAAAATCTCTGCGATAAGATAAAGGCAGATGTTGTTGCCAACTGACTTGTGATAGTTATGGTCCCATCTGAACTATCTTTTCCGTAAGAGGCTTGCTCTCAGCCACTTCATTCTAGTGCTGCTAAACGTTCAATGAATGCATCCATCTCTCTTTGCCCCAATTTTATTCATCAAGAAGCTACATTGATATTTATTTCTCCAGCTGGTCTTCTTACCAGGAGAGAAAGTGCCAGTTGTGTGAACTATCTGAACCCATTTCTGCAACAATAATTCTCTCTGTAAGTGTATAAATTGCCATTTGGTTTATACTTCACTCTGAAGGTGTGTCTAATATACGTCTAACCCCTAGAGATAATGCGATGCTCAGTGTGTTGAGAAAGTCAAGTTTTAATGTTTGTAAGGATCTGTGTAAAATCATCTAATCTTCAAGTTGTCATATGAATCCTTCTGGGAGACAACTTGATGATTCTTTCTTTTGATGGAGACACAACCGATGGCTGAGAGAAAGCACCTGCATTTGCTACAGATCTGAGACTAAATAGAGCTAGGTTAGCTCTACCCTCTGCAATACACAGAAACCCTGGTGACTTTAGGCTCATGGAATATGTTTGACCTCATGTCCCAGATTTTATGATTCTAAACAATCTGCCCATTAACCTCGAAGGTCAGTGTAATGATTAAGGACTATCTGTTCAGGCTTGTCTCTCAGTTCTACCACATATCAGTTGCGTGAGCTTGGGCAAAAGTTATCCCCTCTCTGAGCCTTAGTTTCCTCATCTGTAAAATGGAGACAATATTCAAACTTCTACCTAGCAAGGCTGCTATTAGTATTGATAGCTCTGATATATGCAAAGTGCTTGGCACAGCATCTGGCTGGAGCTGGTTCTCACTCAGTGATAGCTATTTTTATTTTTACAGACCTTGTGTCACAACTGGAGGTCAGAACGTCTGGTCACCCAGAGCCATGCTGTCTTCATTCTTAAAGGTCCCGTTCACACATTCTGTAATTATGCAGTGAATGTCGGTGTTGCACAAAGCACCACACTCGGCACTGAAGGGGACGAAGGAAAGAAATGTAAGACATGCTCCCTGCACTCAGGGAAGTTATAACCTGGTTGGAGAGGCAATATATAAAAACATGAAATGGTTAAGCAACCGTGCACAACATATCAAGATGATGGAGTAGCCGGGAGTGCAGTGAAGGCTACTTTGGTACCATTTGTCCTGTCTCCCTGCAGTGGAAATAGCAGTGGACTGGCAGCGAGACAGCCTTCCCGGACACTCCCTGCCCCAGGCTGGGTTGGAGACCACTCCCTACCCCTGGGTATCCCTTTGGGTGATGTTCACCGCGCTCAAGTGTGATTGCCTGTTTACTGGTCAACCTCCTTTATTGAAATGGGAGCCATGGTGGGCAGGCACTCGCCCGTTGATTCATTCGTTAAGCAAATATCGACTGGGTACCTGCTGTGTGCCAAGCGCTGTTCTAGGTGAGAACAAGACAGTCAGAGCCTATAGAAAATCTCACAGTTTAGTTGTGTAGAAAGGCAAGGAAGCAGGAAAGCCGTAGACGCATCCAGTGTCGGGTGGTGCTAAGTCCTGGAAGGACCGTAACGCAGGACAAGGAATGTGGGAGACATGGGGATGTGTCACACAACCCCCCCCCCGCCCCCAAGGCCTTGCTGTCCAGCTGCAGGGAGTGTGGTTAGCAGACAGCCCCGCCTGTTGTCTTCCTCCGGGTCAGCCTCAGCCGCAGAGAGCCACTTCGCTCAAGCCCATGTTGGTCCCACCTGCATCCAGTGGCTGCGTGAGGTACACAGGCCTGGTCATTTCAGCCCGCCTCTGCTGAGGGGTGACATTGGGACATTCGCGAGGGTGGATGCAGCTTTGTGGAACCCATCACGGTGTGTTTCCCCCTCTGCCCAGCCCTGGTTCCTCCCCTTTTCTTTTACAGAAGCTGAAGCCTAGGGGACATTGTACACCCCACACCCCATCTCTGTGTTTGTTTCAGGAGAATCCAACATGTGACAAGGCAATGCAGCGTGAGGAGGGATGGGGGGAGCTTGCCCTCTTGGACAAGGTGGTCAGGGAAGGTGGCATTTGAGCAGAGACCTGAAGGTGAGGGTCAGCTGTACAAAGGCCTGGAGTTACTGTGCTCCCGGCAGAAGGCACAGCAAGACCCAAAGCCCTGAGACAGGAATGCACTTGGTGCATCTGAGCACCGAGGCAGCCCGGTGGCTTGAAGCCTAGCTATGGAGGCTGACTTTTGGAATGCCACGAACAGGCAGCTGGAAGTTCTCGCAAGCAGGGACACCTCCACCTTGTCTCCCTCGTGCCAGCACATGGTGGGTGCTCAATAGAAGCCTGCCAACTCTAACTGGGTTCTCCTTCTAGCTCCTTTCTTCTCTCTCCGTGTGAGCTTGGACAGGCAGTTACTTAACCTTTCAGTGCCTGAGTTTCCCCAGCTGTGTTCAGCAGCAGAGGTGGAACTCCTGAGCTCTGGTTTAGCACTCTTGCTGCCAGACCATCTCCTCTTCTTGCAGTCTCCTTTCTCTCTCTTCAGGGATTTGGAGCACACCTGTGCCCACCCCCGGCCTCCCAGCAGATGGTTCCCTCTAGAAAGGTGGATGCTCTTGGCAGCTCATCCCGGAGCCCCTGAGATGAGAAGCAGCTGCATCAAGGCGGTGGGGGGATGGGAGGGAGGTGGCAGAGCCGAGAGGGAAAGTTTGATTTCTCTGCTCTGATAATAAATAAACCCGATTAAGGTGTCCCTACACCCGCGGGGCAGGGTGCTCCTTTGGTGGGCCTTATTGCTTTGATAAAAACTGCAATATCTGAAAATTGTCTCAGGCACCTAAGAACTCCCATTTTATGACTTGCACGTGCCTGGAATAAATTGCTTTTGCAGCCTTGTTATATATAATTCACATCCTTATAGATGCTGGTGGGATGCATAACACTCTCCTCTAATGATTTATTCATCTGGGGAAAAGCAGAGTGCACCCACTCGGTTCTGGCCGGCCTGTCTGACAGCTCGCAAGGTGGTGGTTGCAGACATATGTTGGATCAGCCTTGAGAAGGAACAGCCAGTGTGGGCTCCTTGGCTTTCCTGGAAAGCAGCCCTAGCTGGGCAAGGGGCTTGTTGGTTCAAGGCTTTCTCTAAGGCTGAGCTAGGGTCTTTGCACGTGTGATTTGAAGCTTCCTCACTGCCCTTTGAGGGTATAGGGTACTAGTACCCCTCCTTTATCGATGAGGAAATAAAGTTCAGAGAAGTTATGTGACTTTCTCAAGGTCACCCAGGCAAACAGAGATGGGATGTTCATGTCACACGGGCTGGCCTTCACGTGCCATTCACACCTGAGCCAGGTGCTTCATACACATGGACTCACTTCCTTTTTGGTACCACTCAGGAAGATACAGGTGATTTACTTCCCCGTTTTATAGATGAAGCTCAGAGAGATGAAGGGACTGATCACGTTTATCCCTTTATTTAGAAATTGGATGACTGGGATTTTAACTTGGGTAGGTCAACATTCATTCATTCCTGTATTCATTCATTCAACCTCCCCATGACTTAGTTTCCTCCTTTGTCAGCTGGGGATAATAGTAGTACCTGCCTCATAGGATGGTTTTTTTTTTCCATTTCAAGGGATGACTGATTTTTGTTGTTGTTGTTGTTGTTTTCATTGCTCGACATGTATTATATACTTTTATTTTGTCATCTTCATAAATTGTAGGCTTTACAATGGTGGGATTTTGCCTGATTTATTTATCCATCACATTTCTAGGGCCTAGAATTATGCTTGGCACATGGTAGGGGCTGAGCAGCTCTTTATACATATGAATTAAAGAATGAATTTCTGAACAAACTTAAGAGTCCAGCTCACATTATTGCCTCATAGGATTGTTGCAAGGATTAAATGAGGGGTCTGAAAATGAGTTAACACAAGTAAAGTGTACAGAACAGTGTCTGGCCCATAGAAAAGTATGCAATGAATTTTAGTTACAATAATAATTATTTTATCATTCATTTATTCATCCTTTAATTCCACAAATACTTGTAGGTAGCTTACTACATGTCAGGGACTTTCCTAGGTGCTTTGCACACATGAGCTCATTTTTATTCTCACCAATGCTCTCACCTAGAGATTAAATAAATTGACGGTGTTCCACCAGTTAGGAGGTGAGTGAATTCCATTTTCCAAAGTGGGTCAATATTCGTTCGTTCACTCATCTGATGTGTTTTCATTAAGAATATATTATGTGTGGTGTAGCTGCTGCATATGTTTTTGCTGGCTGCATGCATGAATGAATGCAATGGTAGACAAGGTTGGTTTCTGTTTTCAGAACACTTATGGTTTCTGGTGTGAGGTATATGCAAGTAGACAGGAAATGATCATATTTCATGAATTCTAAGATGCAATTTTTTCCCCCACATATTAACCTCTCCCAAATTGGGATTCATCTTGCAATCAATGGTGTTATAAAATCACTATAGGCCAGCAGTGGTCAGGACAAGGTTGGCCTTGCTGGAAAATGACAGTGGAGTTTTCTTTTAAAAATTCTTGTATCTTTAATGTTTTAATGACACAGAGGACGAGATCTCGTAGGAAGATCTTGGACATTGGCAACTATGATTTAGAAAATTATTTAGGAGACCTAGACTTTGTATTGAAGACATTTCTGAAATATGTTAACTGATGTATTTTACTTCTATTTTCTTTTTTTAAAAAAAATATGTGCAGAGTGATATGATAAAAACTGATGTCTAAATAAATCTAAAAGTGCTTTTTAAATAAGAGGAAATAAAAATTCTAAGTGATAAGAAAGCATTGTGACTCCCAGGTATATACCCAACAGAATTAAAAACATGCTTACATTTAAAAAATGACATGGATGTTTATAACAACATTATTCTCAATAGCAAAAATGTGGAAACAACCTAAATAGCCATCAACTGATGAACAGATAAACAAAATGTGGTCTAGTGATACAATAAATATTATTTGACCACAAAAGGTCAATGAAGTACTGGTATATGCTACAATGTGAATGAACCTTGGAAACTTTGTGCTAAGTGAAAGTGGTGTCCATCATAGTCCTGAAAGACACAGTCTCTAATGCCATAGTTCCGAACGTTGAAATCTTGGAAGATGAAAATCCCTACAGCCTAAATCCCTAAGGTCTAAAATCCTGAAAGTCACAGTTAGTATGTTTTTGGTTGTACACAGGAGAGTTGTATCACATTAGTTGCATCACATTCGGTGGAACTATTACTTTGTTATTGCCTTTATTTGGAAATTATGTTTTACAGAGATGCCTGTGGGCACCACGTTGACAAGAGGTGGACTTGTGGATTTAATGGGAGGTGTCACTTTGGGTAGATTAAGGGATAAATAGAAACTTGGCAAAGCATTATTTTGGGAGTGTCTGTGACGGTATTTGCCGAAGACAGTGGCGTGAGAGTTTGAGGGGACTGGGTGGGTAAGATATGTTGACGGGCACCCTGTAAGCAGCTGGGGGCCTGGGGAGAACAAATAGAGAAGGTGAATTAGTCTTTATCTGAGAGCTGGGACAAATTTTTCTCCTGCTATTTTTGATCTATCTCATCAAAAGACTTAGGTTGCCCATCATGGTATTTCAGATGACCACAGTTGCATAAGCTGTTTCTTTATGAATACAGTTCATCTGCTCATAGCTGTTGTACTCATGTGACTGTTGTTAGTGTACCTGAGCATCCATGCTTGCAAAAGTATAGATGTTATTACCGCCTATTTTATTGTGTAAAGTGGGCTAGGAAGTGCTCTGTCATGTTTTTTATATGTTTCTGGGAGGAATCGCCTTTAAAAGATGTACACAAATGTCTTTTAAGTAATTTTTAAAAATGATTTTTCCAGAATTATATTTTTTTGGGATTTTGACTTTTCGGGATTATAATTTTGGGGATATTACATTTAGGGATTTTGATTTTTCAGTTTTCAAAGTTTGGGATTATGGTGTTTAGGATTATGTCTTTCAGGATTTTGGCCTAAACTCAAGTGAAAGAAGTCAACCTCGTGCATCCACATATTATATGAT